ATAGGCTCAAAGTGGACGATCCGGGTGTCGTTCTATTAGAGGTTTTACGGTAATTGATCAATTAGCAAAACCGTAATACTTTCGAGGTGGTACCACATTCAAATAGGTCGGCAGTTAGAACTTAAGATCGTGTAGCTCAGAAGGTAGCGGATTGAGAAGTGTTCAAACCATATAAACGCTGTAACAGACTTACAAGAAATCCATTTTCGATAAAACTTTGAGAAAATATTCGTACAGCACTATAGTTTGTCTTATCAAAATCCCTTATTGACCGCTCTAAGCATTCCCGACTTCTGGCTTCTCATTTCTTCAATAATAGTTCGGATTAACTTAAAACCTAAAATAGAACACTGTTAAGTTTGAGCTCAGTTATCTCAGCTCCTATAAGAGATATCAAAAATGTGTAAACTGATAAAATGTTTACGATATAATGATAAATAAATTGTCAGTTGACAACTTTTTGATATATTCTATGGCAATAGAGATAAATGAGTTACAATCATACGGGTCGCAAATGCTGCCGATGGTGGAGCTCAACGACGCGCCAACTTTTGGTTCATTTATCTCATTTTCTAAAAGAGATATCAAAATTTTGTAAACTATAAAAATGTTAATAATATTATGACAAACATTTTATCAGTTTACCACTTTTTGATATCTCTTATAGGAACCGAGATAAATGGGCTCAAAGTCAGGGTGTCATCCTATTACTGGATTTACGGTATCCAATTAAAAATGGTTTTTTTTCAGAAAATTCCATCATGCTTCGAGATGATCCTGGTGTTGTTCCAATCGTACAAGGAATGGATGTTTTCAGTTCAGGTATTGAATTTTTATATGTTGATATGTATACCGTAAAATCTGAAGGGCTCCTGTAATAGAAGCCCACCCTATATGTGCCCTTTGAGCTCAATTATCTCGCTTCCTTAAAAAGATATCAAAATTTTGCCAACTGATAAATTATTTATCATGATATCAGCAATATTTTTTTAGTTGACTAAATTTTGAAATCTCTCATAGGAATTGAGATAATTAAGCTCAACGTTGACATTATGGGGCTGTTCTACTGCAGGTTTTACGGTATGCTAACTTACTAGTTTCCTAGCTAAGCTAGTTTCTTTCAGGCTCATTATTTATAAGCTAACTTCAAATGATATGATAGAAATCGACAAGTACTGCAAGTTGATACTAGTTGAATATCTGTATGTTGTCTATGAACCAAGTTTCGAAAATTCAAAAATTGACTTTGTTGCTTAGATGGTTTTAGACATGTAACTTTGCTCATAGTCAAGATACAACTTTTTAATTAATATCATTTTGTAGCCCTTGTCAAGTTCTATTTCACTCTTTTTAGTTTCTCAAAAAATATGTAGTCTGAAAGAAGTTACGGTCATTTTAAGATCGGAACTACCGTAAACACTAATAGAACGTCACCCGGACCGTTTACTTTGAGCATATATATCTCTCTTCTTTTGAAAGATATCAGAAAGTTGTCAACTAATAAAATGTTTATCATAATATCAGCAACATTTTATTAGTTTATCACTTTGTGATATCTTTTATAGAAAATGAGATACATGGGCTCAAGTTTGACGATTCGGGTGGCGTTCTGTTAGAGTGCTTATGATACCATATGATTTTGCTTCAACTCATGATTTTTCAGAACATAGTCTCTCCCCGGCTCGCCAAATCGCATCAACCACAACTCTCCAAGACATTCAAGCCTTCCAAGCCATCTCGGAGTCCTGGGCAACCATGGCATTCACACCATCCTCGGTAACTCGTGGTGATTACAAGTACGACCTTAAAGGAATATCTCAAAAGCCACTCGAACCTTTCGGCTTGTACATTATCAAAGATAACGATGGTAGAAATATGATAGCAGTTCCTTATCACCAAGAGATGCTGAGTAATGGGCGCGAGGATTTAGGTCAAGCGATGTTATCGGTTTTCTCAGTGGACCTCTTGAATCCCCGACCCATTCAACCCCAAAACTTCTATCCTGGAGACGCTATCTGTGTCATGAGTATGTACGTGAATCCCGTATTTGAAGATAAGTGGATGATCAAAAACTTCTATCTAGTTCAAAGATCCTTGATTCACAACTGCCTTCTCACCCAACAATCCCACTTGGGCTCTAAACCCTTTTGTATTGTGGATGGGTTCAATGTGCTCCTGGCGGCTCGGAAGTGGATGTTTCGAGATGCTGGGGTCACTTCTAAAGATTTGTTCGCAGTTGGTACGGTATTCCAACCAGAGTTGGAGGTAGCTGGATGTGGGTTTGTGCCATCTATAGTGCAGAGTCATAAGGTGGAGGAGGATCCGGATGTCCTCCGTTTCTCTCGCTTTATATTATCTGGGGTTCTTGCCATGGAGAATAAGAATCGACACTTGACTTCTTACTCTACAAAAATTGATGCTATCCTTCTTACTCCTACAGGTCGCGGAGTGAAATTCAACATTCAAAAACCCAAGGGACGGGATCTTTTGTGTCTTTGGAAGCGAGGAAACACATTCGTCCTCAGGGGAACAGGCTTATCGATAGCCATGGAGGTTCAAGAAGCTTCTGGAACTTCAGAGGAAATTTGGATCAGTGCTTGCCCATTAGATCCTTACCATCAAAACCTGTTGCCAGAATTACTAGGATCTGAAGTTCAAGTTTTCCAGAGACTTGAAGACACCAAACACATTTTGGAGGCGTTCCCGACGAACGGAACCCCAGCAAAGTTCCTGGACATCTTGCTGGGATCCCAAACTATCAATTGGAGATGTCCTCCTCAATTCAACTACTTCTTCGCGCTTGTCAACTCCAGCTATCCTGTTGTAGCCCTAAATGCTGGACCTGGCTGTGGGAAGACTTCGATTTTAGTCTCTGCTGCTAACCAATCCAGTAGTGGATTCCACGTGGCGGTTGCTCAATCAAGTCTGTGTGTAGTGAGAATGATTCGGGAGCATTTAAAGTTCCCAGGATGTGCTAGAGCCGTGAGGATTGTAGATCGCAATGAAGAAGCCTATCCTACAGAAATTGATCTACCAACTTTATGGCCAAAGGTATTCAAGGAGTACTTGAAGGAAGTCGAAGGTCAGGAGGTAGATCAAATCGCCCGAAACGTTGTGATCTACCTTGATCGGAATTTACGCTCCCATAAAGATGCCACAATTTCACTCTCCGACCTCTTCTTCCATATCTACAAGCCCAAAATCTTCTATGGAACCATTGACGCTATTGCCGGATCTCTCTACAATGGGGCTCTTCACCCTATCAAATCCTCAGCGTTCAATTCGACGAGGCCAACACTATGAGTCTTCATGAATTCCTCCAAATCGGCGCCAGATGTCCCAACGCTAGATTTGGATTTGTAGGTGACGCTCTTCAACTGTCACCTTGGAAAACCGATAGTCTTCCGAAGCTCCTCCAGAAGGATTCGGAATTCTTCAAAAGGGTAATTGCTAGATTTCCCTGGTTCCAGCAAATGAATTCTCGACGATTGGCTCCTGATGTATTGAATTGTTGCTCAGAGTTATTCTATGAAGATCGTCTAGCCAATGAAGCCAATGGAACATTCGTCTCAGCGAATTGTGGATTGTTGGCATCATTAGGAATAAGAAGTGGATATGGCATTCAGGTCATAGATTTTGGAATCCAAACAACCTACAAGAACGTTTACTCTCTCAAAGAAGCATACTTGGCTATTGACCTAGCTGATCTATTCCCTCGAAATCTTTCTATTGGAATCCTTTGCTTCTCTAAGAAACAAGCCAGCTTGATCTCCATGATGCCAGAGCTCAAATCCTTCACCGGGACCATCGAGCCTGCCCAAGGCATCTCTTTCGATGTCACTATAATTCTGACGAATGGATTTTTGGAAGACGAAAAATACAATGAAAAATATGAACGACGAATGAATACCGCGTTATCTAGAGCCAATAAACTATGCATCTTGGTGACGGATGTTGGAAAAGCGAGAAGTATTTCGATATGGAATAAATTGCTCCAGAAGATTCCAAAGGGTGCGATTCATAATTTGAACAAGTTCAAGAAATCGTGGATTTGAAAGGTGAGCAAAACGAGCAGATCAGGATTTGAGCTTCATTATCTCGGTTTCTATAAGAGATATCAAAAATTGATCAACTGATGAAATGTTTTTGATAAAATGATAAACATTTTCATAGTTAATACATTTTTGATATCTCTCATAGGAACCGAGATAATTGATTTCAAAGTATCGTTTGGCGCGGCGCTTGTGACCCTTATGCTTGCAGCTTAATTATCTCGGTTCCTATAAGAGACATCAGAAAGATAACCTGACAAAATATTTATCATACAATTATCAATATTTCGTTAGTTTACAAACTTTTAGTATCTCTTATAGGAAGCGAGAAAGTTGATCTCAACGTTTGGATGGAGTTCCATCAGAGGACGTACTTGCCAACTGGGCCGGCTCATAACTCGGTTCAAACTTGGAATTTTCAATTAAACCAAAAATAGAAATCTAGGACTCGATAAGATCTACAAACCTATACCTTAATCAACTATATTCAAATGAGTTTTCAATCAAAAGACCCGGGTTTGAAAACTTCTTTAATTTTGTCTTATTTTGTAGATCTCATTAATGTTCTACGTCTTAATTTTTGAATACATATTGAAATTAAAAGTTTGGACACTTACGATTTTTTTTCCCACCAACTGTTTTAGTTCCAAATTTTCAGAATTCATCAATACATATACAACCATGGATCTCGCCTAATGTTCAAAAATGTGAGTTTGTGGGTTTCCAGAAGCTTCCAGAATATTCTAACATTCTTATTTTTCAGATCAGCTGCTCACAACTTCAGATGATCTACATACCAAACACTCTTGTTTCTCCGAATCTCATAATAAAATGTTTTTTTTAAAATTCCCATAGAATGTGTAGATCAGGACGTTAGAGGTCCTATTTTGGCCCTAAGCCAAGTTTAGACGCGTCGCGTGTCTGCGCGCACGGTTGCTAGCTGATTAGCGAGTGCGATAGAGCGCACCTTCATTTAATGAATAAAGCTAGAGCGCAGCAGAGCAAACTTTCTTCAGATACTATATTGCAAACAGTGTTGTCTTCACTTTATGGGCTCAAGAGGGTTCACAGAAGCTAGAGATAGAGAGATACAGAGAAAGAAAAAATTGTACATATTCTATTTGTACCTAATCGAAAAGAATAACTGGTTAGTAGTAGCACCGTCTAGATAAGAACAAGGAAATAGTAATTGTAATCAGTGTAATTTATAAATCTTCATGTCTTCCGCTGTCGACGCCTTCTGACTCCACCACTTCTCGAATGTCTTGGTTTTTGAGAACAATTTGAGCCATGGAGTGAATGAGGAGGGTTCTTGCTCCATCCAATTCCTCAACTCATCCATCCCGACTTCTCGGATCTCGGCCACCTCGTTCTCGTTGATTCGACAGTGATCTGCTCCGATTCCTCTCAAAATCAACGCGTAATCCAGCTCATGCTCTCCCCATGGCGCCTCATCCATCTCCGCTCGATAGATCCATCGTCCGTTCATCTGTAGACGATCCGTGTGCACTTCAGTTATGCCTAGCTCATGATCCAATTTTCGAATTGCCGCTCGTTTGGCGCCAATGGCACCGTCCATTTCTTGTGGTGTGTGAAGGGGGTGGCTACAGCAAGTGTTGGTCCACAGGTTGGGAAATGTTATCTGGAATAATCGAGGGTGGAAAATTCGAAATTTTAATTGAGAGGTATTTGAGAGGGGGCGTAGATCAAAAGG